GGAAGCCACTTGTCCTATTCTAAATTCTGTAGAGCGAATTTTTTTTTAGGAATTTTTAACTATAACGTAAATTATTTTATTACACAATTTAAAAAAATGTACATATTTTTTTACGTGATAAATTCAATACATCAGTGAAACAAATTGATTTTTTTGCCTCCCTTCTCTTTTTCTGCTTTTTTTTTTAAAAAAAAAAAGATCTGAAGTTAATTAGATATTTCTACTTGGATTAATGCTATTTTTTACCATGGATAATTTTTTTATTTGTAAGACAGGGATATTTTTTTTTATAAAAAAAAGATATTATAGCATAGAATAAATTTGTTTCATTGAAATTTTTAAAAATTATGTAATGTTTGCGTTTTTTACTTATGAACTTACATTTTTTCTTCCTCTGATATTTCAAAGCTTTAGGAAAAGGAAAGTTAGAAGTGCTTCCCTATTTTTATATATTAAGAAAGGAAAAAAGTTTTGAAGGAATTTTTTTATATTGTAATTTTAATAAGAAAGTACAAAATATCATTCTTTTCTGTATCTCTCTCTCTTTTTCGTTATGGATATGTCTTTTGTGTTTACTTTAGATTAAATAAAGTGATACCGAGTAAAAGGAGAAAGTCATGTACATTAATTTGCAACATATCAAAAAGCAGAAAAAATGTAGGAACTTATAAAAAAATGTTATTTAATATCTGAAATAACAATTTCCTTCCCAGGAATATTTTGCCAAAAATATAATTAAAGCAAAAAGAAAGTAATCTGGATATTTTTATGCAATAATTTGTTAGATAAATTCTAATTAAATCGGTACTTCAAGCAAAGAAATATACATATTAAATATAAGTGACCATATAAACCTGTTAGCTAGATATAAAATAAATACTATTGAGAGCAGCAGTAAGTTTTTGACAAAATGTATAATAAATGAAAATATGCACTTATTGTTATTAAAATTTCGTATGAGATCCCTGTTGTTTCGTTAAAAAATTTCCATTTCCTAAAACTAACATATATTTCAAACAAACTATTTTATTTTTCTCTTATAATTAGCAAATGAATGAAAAATGGATGTTTAAGCATTAGTTCAATTTAAAATAGACCTACTAGTAATTATTTAATATTTTAACTGTTTTATCCACATGTTAACTTAATATAAATTTATTGATTCTAAGTAACATTTTTTATTCAATTCATTATTTATTATTAAAAAAACATATATTAATAATAGCTTGTTTTTAGACAAATCATTTCTTATACATTGAGATTGAGGTAGATTTCCTTGAACATTACAGAAGTATTCGAAATTAGAAACAAAAACGTTTCACACAAATATACGTATATTAAGTATAACATAACTTAATTAGAAATAGAAACAGAATAATAGAACAAACAAAGAAAATTTATTATTCTATATGAATGAAAAATTTAGTAGTAAAAAACGAATTTAAACCCAACATGGAGCCCTGGATGTAACAGATTATTCAAGTCTAGAGATGAGCAAAAAACAAATTTGTTTTATTCTACAAACCTTCCTGTCTTTGTGCATTATTATTGGGAAGAAAATATGAATTTTTTGTAGAATTAAAATTGAAATAAGCAAAGAATAAGAGTGAATTATATATGTATATTCACTACCAATAAATAATTGGATTCCTTTGATAAAAAATAAACACAATCTATTCATATTCATTAGTTAGTAGAGCCTCCACCTAAGGAAATTACAACTTTAACCCTCCTGGGTATGCTTTATACAAGTGTTTAGATGATGGACAGTGGTAATTATTCCAATCGGCTTGCAAAGTCATGTAAGTTCTTTCACAGATTTTAGACGATTGCGGTATCCCTTAATTCGGTGATCCAACTCGTTCTAGATGTTTCTGATAGGATTCTAGTCTGGACTTTGGGCAGGCCAGTTTAGTCAGTTCCCTTCATTGTCATTTCTCCAATCCATGGGGGACCTCGCAACATGACAAGTGGCTTTGTTATCCTGGAAGTAACAATGATACAACCCGTAAAATTGCCACAGCGAAGGAATCACATTGTTGTCTACAGTAGGAGAGTAGGAGTCGGCGTTAAATTTACAATGAATTGGGATCAAGGGTCCCAGTCCATACCTCGAGGAACATCGGGTTGTAATTCCACCTCCGTCAAACTGTAATAGGCACAATGCATTTTGCCAAAGATGTTCTCCAGGCATACGCCTGAACCTTGATTCATATCTCCAGAAAGCACGTTTACACTTATCTACGGTCCAATTTCGAAGTACCTTGCACCATCTTAACCGAGTAGCGTGGTTAAATTTTGTAATCTAGGAATTATGGGTGGCACACGACCATGGAAACTAAGCAAATGTGTTTCCTTGCGGCTAGTATCTATGAAAATAACAGTCCCGGATGCTTGCTGAAACTCTTGGAGTAAGTAGGTCATCAGTTTGGTGCGGTTTTTTCAAATTCCTTTGGACAGCACTCGTCGGTTTCTATCTCTTAGCTTCGGGGATCTTTCGGGTAGAAGTACATCCTGGCAATCACCACTCACCTTCCACTTTTTAATTACGAAAGTTACTGTTGATTTTGGAATATTTAACTCACTAGATATGTCCCTTAAGGATCGGTCATTTCTATGATATCCAAAAACTACGGCCCTTCTCGTAGTCAGACAGCTCTGAGTTTCACGGCAGCTTGCATGCGACCAATGCTAGTACAATTTCCTACACATTTAAACACAGTAGACGTGACGTAGATCAGTATTGCAGATATCCTCATTTGCATGGGTGTTCAAATACTTATTAGTAGATATTGTATACATATATCCAATAGATGGAAATGACGGCCAATGTCTAAGTAGTAGCCGCCCATCCGGTATAGTGGTCAGTGAAGCTGACTGCGGTGCCGTAGGGACTGGGTTCGAATCCCGGAGAAGGCATGGATGTTTGTGTTGTAATCCTTTCTTCTGTTTGTGTTGTACACCCCGTGTTATACATTGCGTGGTGCACGGGGTTTATAAATGTTAAAAAAATGTCTAAGTAGTAGGAGCTCCAGTGCATTGCAATGGAGCCTCCTAATGGTACATATAACAGAGGATATTCCTGTGCGGAGGCATAACTTCCATTCGAATGTAGTTCCTTTGACCGACGCGGACTGTACCAATGTCTCACAGATGGATTCGCAAATAGTATGATACGATGTTGCCATTTGAGACAGGACATGCAATTAGACTAAAGGAAGCATCACTCAACATTTGGGATGAATCGATGTTAGCAGAAATGGGAGAACCACGCCCATACAGAGCTTCAAGAAGTCAGAGTTCAACAGAGTGAGAACTCTGATAGTTCGAACATCACTCCCAGTTCCTATCAACGATCCTACTTGTAGCAAGAATATCAATAACTGCAACAACCATGCATAAGGAATTCGGCAAACAGTGCAGAGGCCACAGATACCACTTCTCCAACTGCCACTCATTGTTGCACATCGCTAGGCGCATTTTTTAGTGATTCCGGGCTCATTTGACAAATCAATGAAGGCGTGTCATGAGAAATTCGGAATAGAAGAAAGATGCTCACCTGACTGTTGTCTGCCACGCAATCTGAAAACCAGAAGTTATTGTATAGGGTGGCACTTTATTTAATGCAGCTGGAACATCTGGTTGTGACACCTTTACAGTACGGCTGTACCTCAAATTCTGTGAGCCATAGTTTTAATTTCCGTTCGTGGCCTCTGTATTTATATTTCAATGGGATAATGCCCGATCACATAAGACACGCATTTTTACGATTTATTCAAGTCCTTCCCAACTTTTTGCTGGACCGGGAAGATCACCAGATCTCTCACCAATAGAGTAGTTTGGGCTCTGATAACTAGTCATCTCCGATCGACCCTTAATCGTGCCGATCTGACTCATCAATTGGAATGTGTAAGACAAGCAATTCCGCAGGTTGACATCCACCAACTCAGCGAGTCAAAACTTGTCTAGATAACAGCTTGCCTCACATTCAGAGGTGGGCCAACATATTACTGATTTTTTTGCTTTTGTAGCTGCATTTTTTAAAATAAAATAATAAACTCATGTGATATTGTTACAATTCATTAAAAATACATCACAAAAACCGATTTTCATCCTATTTGGATAATTCCAATTAGAGCGTTACTTTTTGTGTTACATTTATAGCTTTGGTAAGATTATCAGCAGTATTATTCTTTCACGTTAACTACGAAAATGTCACTCAAAATCATTTAATTTGTGGACTACAATATTAACCCTCTGACATATAATAATCTTTAGGAACCGTCATTTTATTCTCTGAGTCATTGAAGACTTTGTCATCTCCGAAACATCAAGAATTGTCTTCTGGTGAACTCTCTTTGCTGAGCATCATGCGTCGATTCGGTTTTGTTTCGAATGATCAGGGTTTCTCCCCATCTCAACAGCACCGGGAACCCATATTCCTGGGGAAAGAGAAAGCGTGTGTCCATCCTAATCCGTTTTACTTGTGTGACCAATGAGTTAATGTTGAGTTTAGACAAAAATATAAACAAGCGTTATGACGTTTAGCAGCTAAGGAATACCATCATAGCACTAATGCGAAATTTACGGGGTTTTTTTTTCTAATGAGATCATTCTGTACTTTCTCGCTACTTTTAAGATACGTATATATATTCAAGATTCACTTTAATTTAATTCAAATCATAGTGTGTAACGTTTTTGCTTTCTAAAATGTTGAAAGTAGACTTAATGAAGTGCAACGTTTTTTCAATTCCACTATTAAATCACTCTCTCTCTCTCTCTCTATGTATATATATCTTGTTCATAAATTTTCAATCGTTAATAAAATACCTTCTATTTCTCCATTCAAGCTCAAATACATTTTTTAAAATTTGTAGTGGATGACACTTGATGTTAATGCAGTTTTTCAAATATTAATTAATTAATGAAATTAAAAATGAATAAATAGAAACAAAAATAATAGTCCAACAGCATATATAGAAAGGAAAATCTTTCGTTGTGTTCCTGTAGCACAATGGGTAGCGCGTTGGACTTCTCATCCAAAGGTCGTGGGGTTCGAGTCCCCCTGGAATGGCCTAATTTCTGAGAATGTGATTTCTTTTAACACGCTTTTATAAGTTTCACTTGTATGCAATGGAATCTTTGAACTCGATTTTTACCAGCTTTAAGAGGTCAGATTAATTCAAAATGTTGCACACTTGTCAAGGATCGATGACAATACAATAATTTCATAATTTTGTTCCATTGTTTCGATCAGGACATCAATAAAAACAATTTTCAGAGTTGGCGACTAATTCATTATACCGTTTCCAGATTTGGCAACTAATTCTATATACCATTTCAAGATTTGACGACTAATTCCATATGCTATTTCCAGATTTGGTGACTAATTCCAGAACCCATTTCCAGATTGTTACATTAAAAGATTGTTACAACCCTGTAAAAGCGGAAACATTCGAGTCAGCAATATCTTACCAAAATATAAACAATTGCTAGTTTTTCTGATATTGGAAATAAAAAAAAAACTTGTGCATGTGAAAAAAAATATTTATGTTCTAACCCAGCGTTTCTCATATTGTGGGGCGCGCCCTCTTGGGGGGGGGGCATGAAAACGTTACCTGGGGGGGCGCGCATATCGAAAAGTCCAAAATAAAAGATTCAAAATAATTATTAAATTACCGAAAGGAAGTAAAACTAAATACATTCTGACATGATAAAAAATAAAATACATATTCACACTGATATAAGATACTTATAAATGTATCAGTGTGTTGCAAAAAGTATTTAATAATTGATTTATCAATACTAAATTAAAGCAATGTTAGTAATTACCAGGGACTTCCATGGGCTTGTCATATACAAAATATATATTACATATATTGATAATATGTGCGGTTGATTATATTAAAGTCGCATTGAGCTTTAGCGTCGAAGTACATTATTATTGCATTCTATACATTGTTGTTGAATGAGGTGGGGGGGGCGATGAAAATTATGTCTGAAAATTGGATCGCAAATATTGAATTTTAAGAAGCACTGTTCTAACCGTTAAACTCAAATATAAAGTCTGTTTTTCTAAATTCTCTTGTCAGATCTGTGGAATGAAGCATCATTCATTGCTTCATTTTACCAAAACAGCTGATAATTGATTTGGAGAGGTCTCTCTCTCTCTCACCGGATTAAATAATTTCTCACAAACTCTTAGATTCAAAAAGTGTACTTTTGTGTCAAATACTGATGGAAGTTTCAGAGAGAATATTGAGCTCTTTTTAGTGAAAAATATCATTGACTTAACACCTTCTTCCGCATGAAATATTTTAAATTTAGCTCTTGCAGATTTCTTTCAGTTGGCTGATCCGACATTTTTCAAACCAGGTCGACGCACTGTGATACGAGCTAATGGATATTCAAGATTCTAAAAAATGACGCATTTAAGATTTATTTATTAATGAATAAATGATAGTTTAAAAAACTAAAAATGCATGTTTTTATTGTAGATCGAACTAAAAAACGAAAAATAAATTATAGTTTAAAAAAACTAAAAAGTACGCTTTTATGGCTATTCGAACTTAAAAGTAAAAAAAAATAATTCGAAATATAAGAATAAAATTTTTAACGAGAAAATTAATGTCGTTGAGGTAAAAGTGTGGGGTGCTTTGTACTACATTTTTACACTAACTCAGCATTTCGGAATAGAAGTTAGAAACTATAACGATATATTTATAGAACACCCCACGTTTTTACCCCCAATGACATTAATTTTCTCGTTCATCATTTTATTCTTATATTAAGAATTATTTTTTTACTTTTTAGTTCGAATAGCCATAAAAGCGTGTTTTTTAATTTTTTTAAACTATAATTTATTTACTCTATACTATTTTAAGAATAATTTAATTTAATTGATGAGTAAATATTATAACAAAGAAATATAATCTAACATTATATATAGAAAGGAAAATGGAAAATTGCAAGTAAAATCGTTTTCTGTTTTGTCATTTAATATTGTTATTCTGTCATAAATATATATATATATAAATATTTGTATTAATTGAAACTATTTAATAAAAGGTAGCTAAAGTAAAATTTGTCTTTGTTGACCTAAGTAGGAATTGACTAAAAAAATTTTTTTTATATAGCTTCTTAAAAATACAGTTGTCTATAGAACAAGACAAGAATCAAATTCAGATCGCAAAAGTCGTTAAATGTTCAAGATGGACATTTCAATAAATCACCAAACATTGTGAAATTTCAATTTTCTCAGATAAGTCGCAAAAAAATGAAAATAAAAAAATATCATTTCACTCAGACTATTGAAACAATGTACTTTGAAAGATATACAAATATTATCTCAGCTGGCTGCCGATTTATCGCGGAAGACAAGGAAATAATTCAAGCTTAGATCTTCCAGAAAAAGGCTTGCTGGAGCTCACTGCACAGTCTGAAAAGCTAGGGAATAAGTCATGACACTTCTAAGAGAAAAAAAAATACGGTTTGCGTGAGATTTAATAATCAAAACCTTGCAAAAGAAAATTGGGGTCCAATAATCTGGGTTCTGACGAATTTAAATGTCAGGTACTTAACTAACTTACTTTCATTATAAAACAACATCGAAGTACCAAGTTATTAAAAATTATTCGAAAATAACTGTACAAAATTAGACAATGCTATTTTAAACTCTTACGTGTTTCGCGCATCTAGTGGAGCATAAGAGGCGAGAAGTAAATGAAAACCTTCCGAAAAATATAGAACCTACAGTTAAGCATGGAGGAGACAATATTATGATTTGGGGATGTATGAGGACCAATGACTCACACGATGGGGGCTGTAATCTGACACCTGTAAAGGAATGATAACCGATCGAAATTTGTCTCAGTCTCAGGATCTCAAATCCATAGAAAAAACAGCCTTAAGACATTCTCAAGCGCAAGGGCAGGAAGTATCCAACTACTTCAAAAGAAACGTTAAGGTATCCGACTACCCTAAAATTGTAAATTTTGACAAAAATTGATAAATACTTTATGATTTTATTTTATAGGTTGTCTTATTAGCTTTATAAAAATACATAGTTTATTATTTTTCATTCACTAGAACAAAAACTACAAATGTTTTAGTAAAAGCAGATACCACTACGTTAAGCAAGATGTCATACTTTAAATTGCGTTTTTCTCGTAATGAGTTTTTTTGAAAATGCTCAAACGGGGACAGCGCTTACTCAAAAAGGTTTGAAAATAATTAAATGAAATTTTTGTATATGTTCCGTATAGTAGTAGAAGTATATTAATATTCAGATTTATCAATCACTGTTTTATTACAAAATTTACAGTCCTTTATGTTAGTATAATCACCGTTTTTTAAGCAATTTCATATAATAATTAAGAAAAAGTGCTCTAGTTTTTTTTAAAAACTAAAATATCTCTTATCCTGAAGATCACTTCAAAAATGAATAGCAAAGCAACACATCAAGATTGAAAATTTTGTTCATTAATATTTGTACAGAATGGGCCCCGTTTATGTAATTGTTTGTAAATTTGTACCCATTTTTTTCCTTTTAGTAATAATAATTTATTTTTCTCTTCTTAATTTTAGTATATTTTTCTTAAAATGTGCTAAATAAATCTAAAAACAGCAACAACAAAAAAAAAGAAAAAAAATCCCCATATCTACAATTTTTTTTTAAAAAAAAGTTGCCACGCAAGTAGTGGATACCTTCATAAACGTCTCACAGCAAGAATGAAACAAATAATTTAAGACGAATATCGTAAGATAGAAAGCTCTATACCAGAAAGAATTATATAATGCGTCTAAAATTAGATAATAATCGAGCTCAGCAAGGTAACTATGCTCAATTTGAATGTCTTAGTATGACGGAAATCAATTTCATCGAACACCACGTTGACGGGGAAGGACTAATGCCATATTTAAGACTAAATGAGGCCCAATCAAATATTGAATTTTGTAAACGAATGTTTTTATTATAACTGCAGCTATAATATTTTCCCGGCACAATGGTATATTACACACCGAGCCTTTTTTAAAGAGCACCTGATGCGTTTGTTCATGCCTGTACATATGTATTATTATATATTACAAGGTATCCCGAAACTCAACGTCAAGCTGTCGCGGGTGAGTGAGTGAATATTAACGTCCCACTGTTCAGCTACACGAGTTCTTTTGGGGACGGTCCGCATAATTTTGAACCATGGTCAAGTGACGCGGACGACACCTGAGCTGGCACCCCCTCTCCTAACTACCACACCAACGGGAAGACGTTTGAGCTCTCGACAGATTTAACGTACATCGCTCCCCTACACGGCGGGTCTTCAGTGGTACTGGGATTGAACTCAGGACATGCTAGCTACGATCCGATGCCTAGACCATTTGGCTACCGTGGCCGCTCTGTCGCGGGGTGAAACAGGGAGTTATATGAGTTCAGAGGAAAATGTGTTTAATGCAAAGATACCTAGTATTGCTAAATAAGACATGATTTTTCTTCCTTTTTTAAGTATATAACACATAGTATTATAATTTTAAAATTGAATACATTATCATTCCTTTTATATATTTAACAGACTTCAAAAATAATTATTTCGTATACCTATTAAAAGAGTCCAAATTTTTTGCCTCAAATACTTCATGTAAGAACCGTCAGATTAAAGCTTAATCTCTGCCTAAGCGTAAAGTTATCACATTGACGTGGCATAGGGGGGGGGTATAACGATTTTTTTGCTAGTCCAGATGTCATTTTTGTCATTTAAATGTAAGCTCAAAATTACGAAGTATATCGTCAAAAATTCTGGTATTGTTTTTATACATACGGTTCGATATTATTTTAAATGTATTAATTTGAGTTAATCTTAGCACTAGTAATGCAAGTAAAGCAAAGGTAATTTTTGTGCGAAAAGAAGCAATTCTCTAAAAAGGCATAATGTTCTGTAAAGACAACGTAACCTATCTAGCTTTATATTTCTTTATGTACACACAATATAAAAATCAGCACAATATCTCGATTCTTCCGAACTTCTGGTTCCTAATCATAACGTTTTTCTTATTTGTTCAACTTCTGCGGAAACAAT